GAAGTTTATTCAAACCCCTACCGATTAATTACATCATTGATGTTGAATTCATGGGATGTTAAGTAATGTCAACAAATGTGAGGCAATATTCCTGCGGAGGCTTTTACTTCTGGCACAGTTGTTCACAGCTTCCATCAATACAAGTTCGAATTTGCTATTGTCGATATGTTTCCTATATTGACGTATCGATAACAAACTTTAGTTCAAATACACAGTGTATGTTCTTCCTGTCTCCTGAAATCAAAACATCGTTTTCTCATTGAAACAGTTCTGATCTCAGTTTGTACTGTATTAATCTGTTCTTCAATTTATTGTTGCATAATCCAGTCACTATTGGTAAAAATAAATTCAGATTTTATTCTCTAGTTTTTACATTTCATTTCCTGCATTCGATTGGAAAGTGAATATAAGCTGCACATGTAATTACGATAGCGACGTACTTACAATGATCACAATCACCGGAACTGAAAGTTCATGCGCCAATCACGATTGTTTCCATTGACGATAGATTCAGTTTGCCTTTAATCAGGCACTAGATACACGAAATTATTTTCCTCCTAATGTCCATCCCTGGCATCTATTTTAGTTTTACGATAGGTCAACTGAAAGAAGGAATAGCCTAGTTGCAAATTTTATGGTTGCACAACTGTGTGATGCAGGTTCCAGTCTTGGATACAACATGAATTTCTTAGAGATAACATACAAGCGAGTGTCATGAAACATAGCATCCATGTTCAGGACCTCCTGTTGCCACCAGTCGTCTGCTAACGAGAAATCCTCACATACCATGGAATTCCATACGGTTTCCAAGTGTTTTTGTTGAAATAAGAGCTGACAAAATGTACAATAAAATACCTACACTCACCTTCAAACTTGTCTGAGAATAAAAACGTTTAAGGTAGAATATATAGGTTGTGAGAGATTCTAGCAGCAAGGTGAAGTAGCGAAATTAAATTTGTCACAATTAAGTTAAATTCCACTAATATGATGAGGGGAGCGGAAATTGACGTCTTCACAACATTTTGAGTATTTGTTTAGTTATTCGCCCTTCGTATCCTAACTTCATTCTTCACATATCAAATCTTGCCTCAGGTGAAAGAATTTCTGAAGTCACTGTATTCAACTCTCAATGAGAGTAGACCCAACCAATAATTACATTAGCCTATAAATGGAACTGAAATGCATACAAAGTTTTTCTTAGAAAGCAAAATGAATATCATATTGTGATATTCTTTTCAAAGAGATATTGTTTGATTTTGTGGTGAAATCTTTGCACTGAATGTATTCAGCAGACTAGTAACATTGGCAATTTCGAGAAAATGAGGCTGGTTGTTGAACTGAGTTTAAGGCAACTGTTCAAATTACAGAAACAGTCACAATTATTCTCATTTGTTTTCCGCCTTCCAGCTACCATTTGTTGCACTATCATATATATAGATGATTCTTTATGACAGGTTTCATAAAATCAAGTTTAGTGCACAGAACATCATGAGACAAATAATATAAGATTGTTCGCAAATGTCTCTCCCAAGTACCATCTCGTTCATGAGAGTGCCAAAAAGTGACCATCAGTATAAAATTCATTCAGAATTAAATGCACAAAATGCAGCCTACTCTCAGGGAGCTTACTGTTCACAGTAAAAATTACACTTACCGAAAAGGCCTTTAGTATTAACCAGATTATGAATTTCTTTATTATGTTTTAATCGTTAAACATTATGAAAATCTCTTATTCTGTCAAAATACTTAGCTTTACAGAGGACATCACTCCGCGTTCTTCTCTTACACATTACTTACTATAATTTGAGTCAGACTGAGTGAAAAATATATTTATGCAAACTGCGTGTCAAGAAATTTACGAAAGAAATTCAGAAGGTAAATGATCCTCTCAATTTGGTAGTCAGTTAGCCACAATGTAATACTTGACACTAAAGTTGAATGTTTTCTCCTAATGAGAATATCTTTGATGTAGAACCACATTCCCATGTTATCTAATTGTTTATCATGCCCCAATTATTGTTATTTGCAGGTATAATCACAAATTACAGAATGGGTTTCCACTGTCTGAACGAAATTAACGATGCGACAGATTCTGTTTAGCATGTTCATCTCACAGAATTCATACCATACAACATATAATTATTCAAAATCGTTTTTTAAATAAATTAAAATCTGAAAATTTAATATGCGTAAAGATATAAAATCTTTTCACACTGGTAAAATTTTGAATATTTACTTTTTTTATCTGATGTAAAAGGGATTAAATAAACCAGATTTCAGAATAGAAACTGAAATGTTTGAAGATGACTTTATCAGTGCAAACAAACTAATGCGCTAGTTGAACTTTGCATTCTCGATCAACATGTCATAGTTTCAACTGAATAAAGTTTTGAAACTGAAGATCGCAAATCGTTTTCATTATATTTTTTTTAATGAATTGCAGCTGCATTGTAGGCGACACGTGAAAATATTTGTTGACATTTATTAGGACACTCACGTTGTTCAAAAACTGTTGTCGGACAGGAAAATGTTTCATGATCACTGGGTTTATTCAAAGAGCAAGTATTTATTTAACGAAAGTGGTGTGTAAGGTGAGATTTCGTAGTGGTCTGTGGCAGATACTGCCGTCCAACCACTACATGTGTGATGTGGAAGATTTTGAAGCTAATAAAAGACTGTACGCGTATATAGAATGGATTTGGATTTATGTGAGTAAGCACGAAAACCAGTAAGTATTTATCATTATATCATAATTATCATATGTACCTAGTGGATCATTTGTCTTCAGTAGAGTAAATTTTTCCTCCTGTTACCTGCAGTCTTTTGTGACAATCTCCTTGATTGCCCATACACTGTCCTCTCCTCTTCACACTATCTCCTTCATGTCACACTGAGACCAACGCCAAACTCTTTGTTCCTCATACAGTTTCTCCTCAGAATGTATTCAGTTTAAATGCCCTCTTTATTCGGCTTATTATTTCGGTAGAAGTTTCTCTGTGGATTCATTTCCAGTTGCCCACAAATACTCAAAGCTGGTTCGGAATGATATTGTTGGCAATGCAAACTTGTGAAACACAAAGACAAACTAATTTGACTTCCGCGTTGAAAATCAATATCATGTTCTCTATCCTGAGTACAGTATGTTTCCGGTCTTGCCATTCTGATCCTTGATGGCTTTGACATGCGTACCACTTCCTGCTGAATAGACTCTGACTCGAAAATTGAAGCGACCTCGTTTGAATTTTTTCCTGTGATAGAGATTGATGCTTAGTGTTGTTGCTCTTTATGTAATCTCGTCACCTCCGTGTTCTCCATAGTCATGTGGAATCCTCTCCTTTCCACCTACCATTTATGTTGGTTTCTTGGTTTTGGCATACAGAAAATCTAGTTGGTGAGATACTGGAGACAAATCCTCCGTAAACCGCCCACACTCTTACAGTTATCTCATCAGTCCAAAGTATTACTGACTTGTAGCACCCTACTATCTGTCGCATGTTTTAGTCCAACAGAATCAGGGATAACTTTGCTGATAGTAGTCAGCCTTCTCTTACTCCCATCATCAAACACTTCTATGAGTTTTTGTTGTAAATCACTTTACAAGTACCATTGTCATACGGCTGTCAATTTAGTTTGTTAAAGTTTTGTAACAGAAGTCGCAGTGTCAAAACAGTTTTCAAGTCCCTTTGAATTCAATGCAGTTTATGGCTGTTTAAAAAAACAATCAAAGTGAGGTTCACATTTGACTGCTGTTATAGGCACCGTTTCATGACGTTCCGTAGCGTTACAATTTGATCAAGTTATGGCTCGCCTTTTTCGAGTCTTACTTCTTGAAGCAGACCATGAATTAGTCTCTTCAGGATGAAGCTAATAATTATTTGTCTTAGCACGATTAGGCGTATGACTCCACGGCGGCTGTTGCAATAACATAAGTTGCTCTACATCTGTAGCCTTTTCTCCAAACACTAGGTACGATTTCTTTTTGCCAAACACCTGTAACGATGTCACGATCACATTAGTGGCAGTCTAGCAATCAAATTGTATTGCTTTTGCAGAAGTCCTATCTGGTCCTCCTTCCTACTTGGACTTCAGTAGCTTTTCTTTGAGAAGACTTTAGTTTCTTATCTCTTATATGTAGGTACTTTTCCTACCTTCTCAACATTCCTTAGCAGTGTCGTAATTATACTAGCTGTGTTCTGCGAGTTGGCATGCAGACTTTCTGGATGTATTCTGACTAGTCTTTCTAAGCTTCTACGGTTCAGTAACTTTACAACATTCAAGACCACTGCATTGTGGTTGCCAAAGATTCATCTTGATGAGACACAGATTGTGACGCTGTCAGCTCATTGTTATTAGGTTTAGCTCTCTGGTTTTCATCGGCTTCATCTATGCTTATCTCGTCACCGATTAAACCTGATTACCTGATTTAATTTTCAGATTCTCTTAAAGTTGTCCGCTCGATCCATCCTCACTCATCCCTACTCAAATGACTTTCAGGATTTTTGGATAGCCATCAGTTGCCTTGCTTCTTATTTCTTCCTGAAAAAGACGCACAGGTTTACTGCAACATCAACTATGGCGATTTCCAGTGTTCTTCCATACATGTTTTTCTTGTGATGCTGCATGACATCTCTGACCTCGGTCTGAAGGCTTTCATGAAAGAAAGTTTTATTGTTCCACCCATTAGCTAGGTTGTCACATGCTTACTGAGGATTTTCCGACATTTTTTTCATTAGACAAATGATGCGTCTATAAGGTTTCTCGCTTGAGAGACCTTTGACAACCATAATCAGATCTCGACTACTATATGAATATTATGACAATCAATTTATCTTTACAAATACACCCATGCGATTCTGATGTATATTAACAACCATTACTTCAGCACCGTCATTTTTTTCTTTGTCAACTCAGGTTCTAGCCAGTGAATTCTTTGGATCGCTTGGAAGTATTATCTTAGAGCAGAGAAAGCGTTCATGCAAAAAATATGTGGTAGCGATTCATTACAACAGTATTACACCAGCATTTCTCTCAACCCCAATGCAACTGATGCATAAATAATTACAAAAATATTGAACATGTATCTCACGTTCTTCTGAATGGATATAATCGGAATAAAATTTTAATTTTATACTCGACTATAACGTATAATCCACATAACAAAAGCTTCTAAACTTCTTAAGAAATGAAAAATAGTAAGCAAAATGTCTGTAGAAAGCTGATGTCATTGACTTTATTAGCAAAATGAGAAGAGAAAATAGTAATAGCAGCCAGATATTGACGATACAGAAGTCTAGAATTATATCCAAGGTGCACATAGTCATTGTACAGACTACTTTCTTTTCTGCGTATGAAGTGTAACTCCGTATACGTTTTTTTAAGGGATTTACCAATGCAAATAAATACCAGTACATGACGACTTCCAAAAGCTTATTTTGACCCTCTACACCCTAGTGAGTCTTTAAAAGAAGTTAGATGAGCAGGAGTGTTTACGTGCCCCGTTATAACAGTACATACTCAGCAAATGTGGTGTTTATGAAACAGGCAGGATAATATTTCTTTACCCAGTCTTACAAATCTAACGCAGAATCAGCTTTCTTCCCCGAATCAAAGTGAAAGTGAATTTTATAGGTACGCATAGAAATTCACCACATTCGTTAGTTTATGGTTCGAGTCAAATGATGACATTGACGTTAAGAAGAATGCTTAGGGAGGCCATATCCTTTGACTCGACAACGTCAACATCGCTTATGGGACTGCATCTAAAACCATATATACATGATTTTCTCTTCATAATCAGCTATATAAAAACTGATAAAACATACGGAATTTGTCAACTTCATTGTCCAGTCTCTTGCACATAACTCAAAAATGTATATTTTTGTTTAATCGTAAATGACTGTTGTATTCGGAGGCTACAGTGTGATTCACTATAAAACTGATTGTGCTCTATTACACCTGATCAACTTAATCATATCTTGAGCAGACACTGGAACATCCGCGAAGAACATGATCAGGAGCCTGCACGCTGTGTGGTATACCCACACTATATTTCTGACAAAAGAAAGATCAAGCTGACTCATAGATTAGATTCACTAAATACTACAATTTTCATCAACGTATTTCACTTTGATATTTTAGGAAGAATGTAGTGGTAACATTTGTCCTGCTTCTTCACGTTCGTCATTATCACGGGGAACAGGAATCAAGGGGTCAGTGAACAATGCACTGTCATTGACTAATTAATTGAATTTTCACACGCGAATACGAGTCATTATCTAATTCATCAACAGCTGCAAACAGTGAAATGATTTGAAGATTGGATAAAGAAATTAGGAAAAGTATTAATAAGTATTTTATGAGAAGTGTCATTGCTATTTAAATAAATAGAAGATGTAAATACAGTTGACTGTGTGCGAACTAAGATACAGTGGCCACGTTATTCGAGAATTTTACTCTGCTGAAGTATGTTGCAGTGGCCTGAAATCGATTTCATTTCTATGAGCGGAAAATACTATCATTCTAAGATTATCTCGAATAGACTCAATACAACACTAGCATTACACCAGCATTTCTCTCAACCCCAATGCAACTGATGCATAAATAATTACAAAAATATTGAACATGTATCTCACGTTCTTCTGAATGGATATAATTGGAATAAAAGTCACTTTATTATACACAGCGTAATGCATAATCCACATGACAAAAGCTCTAAACATTTTAAGAAATGAATAACAGTAAGCAAAATGTCTGTAGAAAGCTGATGTCATTGACTTTATTAGCAAAATGAGAAGAGAAAATAGTAATAGCACCAAGATATTGACAATACTGAAGTCTAGAATTGTATCGAAGGTGCATATAGTCATTGTACAAGCTACTTTTTTGCGTTCTTACCTTTCGATTTATCTGCAAACATTAAAGTGATTTGCAGATAAGATGAAGAAATTAGGTAAACGTATTAATAAATATTTGATCGAATCTTGTAAATGATTTTGAAGGATTTTTCGAGTGGCGCTGAATGTCATGAATTCACCAGGTGTTCTGTCACCGAACTATTTACCCGTTTTCGTGTACACTTTCCAGCCTGTCTAGTAAAAGGAGAACAAAAAACGGGTAAATAGTTCGGTGACAGAACACCTGGTGAATTCAGGAAATTCAGCGCCACTCGAATAATAAATATTTGATTAAAAATGCCATTGCTGTTTAAATAACCGGATGATGAAAATGCAGTAAACTGTGTGTGAACTAATATTCAATGGCAACATTTTTCGAGAAGCTTATTCATCTGAAGTGGGTTACAGTTGCCTGAAATAGATTTCATTCGCATAAGCGGAAAGTACTATCATTCTAAGATTATCTCGAATAGAAAATGTGATGAATACAGTGTGTTTGACCACGCCATATAATTCCCGCGTGACCATACTCGTGGACTTTTTTTTAATAATAATAATAATAATTGCTTTATTCCAAAAACAGTACTCATGATACAGCAAGGAATTTTCAGCATTCAGTACAATATTGCATCTAATTTACCCAAAAACGACAAAAAAAAATTAAAAATACACAATACATAATAGTAATAAAACGATTGTTGTAGCAGCTACGTAGCAAAATACTGTGTGCCATACGGAGAAAAATATGTATAAAGTACAAAATTGTAGTAATAATAGTAATACCAACTAATATAAAATAGCAGAGTAACGATTTAAACGATAGAAAGTGTAACACCATAAAATACAGAAAGATGAGCGATAAAAGGGTCGATTCACTGTGCTAATTACATAGTAACTTGTAAGTTTCACGTCTAACAGAGTCTTCGTCACATAAAGTACGCGCTAAATAGGGTATTGTAGAATTTCTATACTTAGTAGTACGAGCATATATCTTTTTATATTGACTTCTCGTCCTACCTGATGAGATACAAGGGGACAGGTGTGAATAAAGGGGGTGCAGAGGGTCTGACATTATAGCCTTTGCCCATTTCGTACAGGAATTTATATGCCTCTCGACTATAGTATTAGCGAGCTCATGCAGTGGCAGACCACAAGCTCTACTCACAGCATTTAATACTCTTCGTAATATGATATAATCTTTTTTGAGAAGCCCAGGAAAGATTAATGGAGAGCAGTAGAGTACAATAGGTAAAATACAGGAGTTTAAAAATTGCAAAACTAAAGGTTGGTTGATACCTGATTGTCTTAACTTTTTAATGTAGAAGGTAAGACGAAACATTTTCTTAGAGATAGATAAGATATGGGATGACCATGAAAGGTCAGAGGAAAAAACTAGTCCAAGGTATTTAATACTTGATTTGGTTTCAATTTCCGTGCCATCTATGCTACAGGGATCATGAGAGTTAACTAGTTCAAGTAAGTCACGTCGATGCTTGAAAGTAAAGTCAAGCACCTGACATTTGGAAGGATTTAATATAAGACCATTTGACTTGGACCAGTTGTTGATGTCCAACAGAAAGCTATTAAGTTTGGAGCTGTCAGACTCGGAAGTGATAGGCAGTGATACAGTCAGATCATCTGCATATTTGACAAAGTTAGTTTCGTTTGAATGAGGTAGGTCATGTAGGAAGAAAGAAAAAAGAAAAGGAGAGAGGACAGCACCTTGTGGAACACCGGATTTTGTAAGCGAGGTAGAAGAAGATTTGCCGTTATATACAGTATACTGCATTCTATCAGAAAAATAGGAATGCAACCAACTCTTAGCCCAGGATCCTGTTTGTGTCAATGATAGCTTATTTAATAAAAGGCCCCTAGGTACAGAGTCAAAAGCAGATGTGTAGTCTAAGAAAGCACTACGAACATATTTAGCACCTTTGTCTAAACAAGAGACAACATTGTGATACAAGACAACCGCAGCATCCAAGGTACTTCTACCATGTTTGTATGCAAATTGTTTAGGATCATTAAAAGGTTTCAAAGCGGGTTCAAGACGAAGTAAAAGTAATTTTTCCATCAATTTTAAAAAGGGGGAAGTAATTGCAATAGGCCGAAATTTAATATCAGAACCAGAAGATGGTTTTGGTATAGGGATAATTTTAATGTTTTTCCATGCAAAAGGTAGAACGTTACCGGAAAAAGAGGCATTAAAAATGTTAGTAAGAGGATAACACAAAATATCAGCACAATTCCTGAGGACAATGGCAGGTATGCCGTCAGGACCAAGGCTTTGAGAAGGCTTAAGAGACCGGAGACATTTAAGCACATCAAGGGTATTAAAACCACTAAAGTTATTGTCAATATGATTTGTATCATTTGGAAGGGTATCAACAGAAGAGCGTATGAAATAATACATAATACATACACCTATCGAGGTGAATCCACTTTCCCTCAACCATTTGAAAAATTCAGTGTTTGTAGATATCTGAAGTCCACCCTATAAATTTTTGTTAAACGTTTAACTTAATTTGGCTTTGTACTCGAATATCAATAACATCATTTAACCAAAGTTGAATTAAAACTCAAAGTACCACTCTTGATGAAGGTATCAACTATTCCCCATATGTGGACAGATTTTCGAAGTAAAACCTGTATATAATTCTCAAATACACCTGAAGACAACAGAATTCACCCGGAGAAATGTATCGTGTGTGTCTACAGCCCACTCATGTGGCCACTTTCTTTACCTTGCCAGTCGCTGAATGGGTGTGGTAAACTGACAACACCCCATGTTACTGTTTTAATTGTCGCATTGTTTTGCCCTCTCTGTCTTCAATTGTTTTCACACTTTTAATCTGAAAACGCTTCACTTGATTTGTGTTTTTTTTTCCGAATTTTCAGCATTATGCACTTTTTTGTTTAATTTTTACAAGTAAGGCTACTCTTTAATTGTCACCATGATGTCTTAATTAATCTGCAATTGAATTCAGTGGTGCACGTTTAAATTTGAAGATATCAGCATGTTATTATTATTTGTAATGTACCAAGTTGACAAGCATTCAGAAAATATAACTCTTAATTATCGTGTGCATAAACACTGTCAAACCGCACGACGAAGTATTCAATGGGATATTCTTTGCTCAACCATTTTGCATCCCAAATGTTTAACTGGAGAATTTTTCTGAATTCAGTATTTCAAAGTCGACTGCTTGCCTTTTTCCGTTAACTAGTGACATACATATACGCACAACATTATTATGTTCAAAAATAGGTGTATAGAGCTGAATGATCTCACTGTTTATTGATACCTACTTGGAGCTTCATACTAATTTCTTCAGGTTTCTTGACGGTTACTAGTTTATTAATTTAGCTATTTCTCATAACTGTCGAATCAAGACAAGATGGATATCTTCTGGATTTTGTCGCTAAAGATTCAGCTTCCAAATACCAGATGAGCTTTCCGTATAATCTTAAGTGCATATGATAGCAATACAGTTTCAGTTCAGTTTTACCTTTTTTATTTGCCAACATTTTATAGCTTGACTAAGCGTTTGTTGATTCACTGTTTCTTGTTCAGTTGTATTTGTTTTCAATTCAGAAATATGTCTCATGTTTCTATTTATCATAGATCGGGATGAGTTTGTATTTTTCGATCTGTCTAAATTTAACAACTTATTTATATCCCATGTGACTCTTAACATTAGTCCAATGTTTCTTTTCGACGAGACAGACTTTGACATCAGTTGATGCATCAAAAGTTTTCAGTTAAATTGATTAGCGTAACTAAACTTACCGTTTTCCACACCTTTTTGTAAAACAGTTAACATTTTGGCAGATGCTGTAATGGTGAGTATATTCACGAGACCCATTTTTATCATACAGTCACTATAGTTTCTATGAATGTATCCATGACACTGCCTACTTTTATTACTTGAGCACAAGTGATACATATCAACACAGGGTTTAATTAATAATGAAGGATATACAATCATATAACGCATGCACTCTGAAATGTCTCTGAAGAAAGATCACTAACACATGTGTATTTAAAATTGTACATGGCGTCGAATTTCTAAGTACAGATGACGTAATTTTCTTCATTCAGATAAAAAGTGGTGATTATTCACTAATATTGCGATATTTACGATGGTTGTGGATACAAAATTTGTAATTCAAACTATTATGGAAAATGGCTTACAGTTTTTTACTATTCCAAGAACTATGAAGATACATATGCATATATAAGCTATTAATTTCATTCACTTGTGTAAGGCGGTTAAAGTGCAACCATCAGGATTATGAGAGACCGTATATATTATGACTTCCATTTGTTGAAAATGATGCGTGAAGTTTTTCTGTGCATTTATTTTGTATTGACATTACATTTTTCATCGTTTTCTTCTGATGTCTCAAGACAATTTTAGTTAAGCCATGGAACTTGAAATCTTGTTTGAGTTTAATATGTATTAAAACTTCATTCAACCTAATACAGAACATTCAAAGTTCCTTTATATTTCTTCCTATCGAAGTCATCGAAAAAGCCTCAGCTCGACGCACAGATAGTAAGCACTCACTTTTATCTAAATTTTCACCTTTTGTTAAAAACGTTTGACGATAAACATTTAAAAGAGTCACTATTTGCAAATGAAAAGATACAAATTGTATGCAACTGAAATCACTTGGAAGAAAAGCGACACAATATGCAACCAAGCCTTTTTATAAGATTACTGCAGCAAAAACGTAAAAATAAATATTTATATTTGACCGTTGGATTAATAGTGAAAATGAGAAAATTACATTATTATAAATCACATTTGAAATGTAAGTTGGGTGTAAAACCACAACTTCAAGTGATGACACATTTTCACGACATTGAATTATTCTGGACAATATCCATCGTTCACCGGAAATTCACGACTGAGCAAATCGCTCAGTTTAATTCGCTAATCACTTAAATAATAATCTTATTGATAAGGGCCTGACGCGCCCTGTTTCCTAACCTGAAGGAGGAGACTCAGTTGATACAATCAAAGTTATTTCAGACAAAGATATAGGCATCACAGAACACAAATTAACTTATAATAAGGATATTCGATTTAGAAACTTACGTGCTATTAATCGACAGAAACGGTGTTTAGAATGCAAAGAAAATAATAATCTCAAGAAACACCACTTATTATATTTCAACAATGCATTACACAACAGTGGCTTAATTAAGACGTTTTTCATTCTCATCAACACGTTAAGTCTCAAATAAGAGACTGAATGATGAGAATTTTAAATGATCAATATTTTTCCGAAAGGGATTCTGAAAAGGCATTAATTTGCGTGGATTTCCATTCAGCACCTACTACTACAATGAAGAGAACAGATCGCGATTATCAAGCTACAACGTTATATTAACAAAAGACGGTTACGTACTAATTTGTTCTCGATCTGCGGTGTATAATATAAAAGAACAATAAGGACTTGAAAATATTCACTTCTAAATCTATAAAAGTAATTATTTTCATGCTAACCTGACCAAGTCTTTCAAGCGACCTTTAATCCGCTGATTTTGTAGGGATATTTTATGGGCACAGTATTTCCTCTGAAATTATCACAACACGATGCTACCGAACAAGAACGACAGTTCCAATTATACAACATGAGACACCTACAAACAATCAGACCCAAGAATATCAAAAGAAAATGATCAAGAATGCAGCGAGATATTTACATGACAGCTCTAGTGGGTGGTATGAATGCAGACCATTCTGATGGACAATAACATAGGATTTGGGCCCATCTAGGGTCAAGAATTGATCGGCCAAGCGAATTAGGACAGAGAAAAAACATTTGCTCCTCTGTCCATTTGATGATTGCAAGCAACATGAATAGCTGAAAACAAATAAACAAGGCGACATGAGTATCTCTAGTCAAAACACATTGAGAATCAGACAGAGATCGTCCCAGTCTCAGTAAAACGAAAAAAAATGCGGGTTGAAAAAAGAGACAAGCGATTGACTTCCTGTCAACCGTCAAGTGTAGGTAATTAGATGAAACCGAGAAAGAAACGAAAAATATGGAGGGAATCTGATACCAACGATAAAAGCGGCGAATGAAGAAATGAAGAAGAACTCCAACAAAGAATAGTGACAGTTGTTATTGATGGTGAACACTGAATGAACGTTCAGAAAATCAGTTTATTCGAACCAGTTCTCCGTTCTTTGGAGGGAACAATCCCTGACGAGGCTTAGACAATTTCTCCGTGACAGAAACCTGGAGGATTACGAATAGGAGTGTTTCTGAACACTATATCGACGTTATTTGAAGAACTTGTAATTGTATTAATAGTAATCAGCTGCAAATTACATGGCGAACCCTTTGTGTATTTGACCTGCTTTGTTGGCTTATACTTGGTTGATCGATGAATCTTCGACTCACCATCCTTCTTTCAATGCAGCTTGCGCTGAAATCGAGCGGGTTATTATGTATGTAAAATTGTATTCTGTAAACCGGAGTGTGGTCTTTTGGCCACAACAAATTTTTCTAACATCGCTATTGACAACAGTCCTATGACATACAGTCAACTGTAACAGAACAAACTTAAGGTGAAAGTGACTTCAGATCACTTAACTAGATAACCATATCACGTGAAAGAGAATTATACGAATAAAACAGGCGAAATACATTGAAAAGAAACTAATTACTTAGAAATAGGAACAGAAGAAACAATAGTCTGATCAATTCGGAGGACTTCAGAACCAACCACCATCAACAACTAGCTCAAAGCATCACCAAGAGCTACATAACTGCTCGGAATACTAGTCCTCTAACAAAAGCTAAATCATAAACTTCATAAAGCAATTGAAAGCCAAGAAGGACACATTAATCAACGGAATTCCGATTATAACGTTTAAAATGGAATCAAAGACTACAATAGACACCCTCATGCTTCTATTTCATCAAAGAGCAAAGCACAGATTGACAGTCAAATGTCTGATGCAAAAACATTGACTATCACAGGTTTTGATATCGTCGTCCGTCAATTAATTCGGAAACTAGGTTAACGTTACTCAAAGGATTATTGCATACGCTTATCCAACGTCTTATTCAACAGTCACATGACAACTCCACATGTCAAATTGCTCAACACGTTAAACTCAGAAGAGTGTTTGAAGTGAAGAAAGGAATAAAAGAAGGCTTACTACTATCACCGATATTACTCCTGGTTCCGGTGGACTGAATCATGAGTCAGATCGAGAACGGCGATAAGATAGCAGTGCACTGGACCAATGGAAAGACTCTAGAAGTCTAGGACTTTGATGACTATTTAACTCTAATATCTGACAGACTGAAAAACAAAAAAAAGCAAAACACAGAACTTCAAATATGTGTAGAGAAAGCAAAGGTGTTGAAGATAACACGCCTTTAAAAACAATAAGCACCAATCACTTTTAGCAGGAGAAATATAAAGTAGACTTCTTCTAACACTTATTTGGGTAGCCTCGTTTTAACTACTGGCTGCATTGATGAAGATGTAAAATTCAGGATCGGAAAGCAAGATAAATCTTCACTATTCCCAAATCAGTGATGAAATCCACTGTTTTACTGGGAAGTAATTTTGCTGACGTTTTATCAAAGCTTCATGTAGATGTCTGAAGCCATCTACATATATTTGATCAGTCACGTTTAACTTCTACTAATGCGAACAGATACCTCAGGAATATTCAGTTGTTTTAAGATGGCACATTAAAAATATCACATGGAATTTATGCAACAGAACGGATGAACTTACAAATTACTTCTAAAAGGATGCAAGAAATAAGCAAAATTAAATGAATCGAGTGAATTCTTGGAAAGAATGGAAAACGTCTTCATATGATTGAAAATAAATACAAAATGTAAATACTACGTTTAAAGAACTTTCTAAAATATGACAATACAAGGAAACAATTCTTCTCATTCTATTGTACGACTGACACAAAATGAAAGAGCGTTCTGTTGTTTTTACGGCTGTGTCAAATATTTGTAAATGATAATAATCTACTTTATTCCGAAATTAAAAATTAAAACGAAAGTAACCAGAGGAATTTCTCCACGTTTACGATATAAAGTCAAAAATATTCGAAGTACTAATTGAGATTATTTAATGAAATAATAATAACAGCGAGTTTTTTTCAAACAATATTGTCGATTCAGTTTGGAAATTTTAGCATGTTATAGATTGTTGGATCTAATGTTCTGTCGATATAATATAGTGAGGGGAAATACAAAATTAAAAGTTATTCACACAGCTTAAATTATGTTCACATTTATGAAAAAAATAAACATAAACAAAAAATTGAGAGAATTATAAAAAATACAATAACAACAAAAATTGATGGTGTAAGGGTGGAGGAAATGGTTTATTTAGTAGTGCAAAGAAGGTTAGTTAGTTCATGCCTGAAATTATTTCCATCGCATAAAGTACGTGCTAAATATGGTATAGGGGAAATTTCGTACTCAGTCGTATGTGCATAAATTCTTCTGATAAGACTTCTTGTTTTACCTGAGGAGACATAAGGTTGTAGCTGCGCGTAAAGTTTGACAGAATTTCGTTTAGCAAATTTGTTGCATGACATCAAGTGCCTGTCCGTGACAGTGTCAACGATATGGTCCAATGGGATACCACTCGTCCTACTGACAGTCTTCAGAGTTCTACATAGTATGATATGGTCTTTTTTAAACAATCCAGGAAAGAATTAGGGTGAATAGTAGAGATGAATAGGTAAACTACACGAGCTGACAAACTGTAAGAAGAGTGGTTGCGTTATGCCTGAGTGCCTCAACTTCTTAATGTATAAGTCAGACGAAATATTCTTTTAGAAATCTCTAAGACATGGGAGGACCAGGATAGGTCAGAAGAAAGAATCAATCCAAGATACTTAAATTCAGACTTGATTTCTATATCAGTCTCATCAATTTCGCAAGGGTCATAGGAACCAACGGCTTCATTTAACTTTCGTTTACATCGGAAACTGAAATTAACAGTCTGGCATTTGGAAGGATTTATTTTAAGGCCGTTAGACGAAGACCATTTGCTGACTCCTGATAGAAAGCTGTTCATCTTAGTACAGTCGAGCTGGGAGTTAACAGAAATTGAAATAGTTAGATCATCGGCATACTTAACAAAGTTCATTTCATCAGAGTGAGGTAAATGATGCAAGAAGTAAGAAAATAGAAAAGAAAAAAGGACAAGGCCTTGAAGGACACTAGCCTCAGTAAGCAATGACGTGGACGACTTTCCATGACATACAGTGTACTGCTTTCTTCCTGAGAAATAAGAATGCAGTCATTTGACAACCCAACAGTCAGTTTGAGTTTCAGCAAGCTTGTTAACAAAGTGTCTCTAGGTACTGAGTCGAAAGCAGGTGTGTAATCTAGGAAGGTGCAGTGTGTATCTACCAATTCACCTGCTCTCGCAAAGCGAGGTATATAGGTCGTTCGATGCGAGTTTTATCTAAAAGAGTTCAAGAACACTATCCCGCCTGGCTACGGGAAGGTAACAATGGAGCAATAAGGAGCGCCATTATTGAGCATATACTCAACACTGGTCATTCGATTTGCAAGGAGAAGTCATTCAAAGTCATCTATAAAGTCAAAAGAAGCCCTCCAAAATCGACAAGCTTCCGTATACTTTGTATTGCCGAAGCCTTAGCGATTTGGATAGAAAAGCCTGAATTACGCACACAGAAGAAACTTCTCCACCCCCTCCTACTACCGTGGGTTTAATTTCAAGTTCATCTGTCATCAACATTTTGTTATCAAATTTTTTTTTGCAATATTCGTATAATAATTTTAGTAACTAACCCATTCAATCTTTTCACCTATTATCTAGTTTATTTTCATAATTGTCTCCATACTCCTTCACGAACATCTAATCTTTCTAAACATGTCTATATTACGTAACCCTACTCACATCTTACCAATTTTCACCCCACTTAGTTACAACTTTGATTACTATTCACACAATTTAATTTCTTTATTAGTTTGATGATGTAATCAACAACCCACACTAACTGTTATTTTGATTTTGATTTTGACAAACCTTATGTACACACACACACACACAAATTAATTGTATATATTTGCGACTGTACAGCTAAGAGAATGAATTCGCCGAAAAGAGACTCTTCGCTGAACTAATTTGTTGTTATTTCAGTGTCCTAATGGGTATTTTTCGCGAAACAAATTTAGTCCCCTTG